TGTTCTTAACCGCTGAGCCATCTCTCCAGCCCCCTGTTGTCTTTTCTTAGAGGACTCATTAGACAGAGGCTATCTGGGAGTTACCTTTTCCCTGACAGAACCAAGAGGAGAGCTCCCATATAATAAAAGCTCCAAAATGACAACTGTGAACGAATAAAAGAGAGGAAGCAAAGGTCTTACCTGGTCCTTTTTGCACGTTCTGCAGTACGCCATGGCAAAAAACCAGACGCACCCGGTGGTAGAGGCTCAGGAGCGTAACATTCTTTACTGAGAGGGTGCTTTCTTCCATTACTTACAGGTTTCTTTGTAGCTAACCCTATGTTTGAGAAAAATACACTAGAGGTCTACAGCCTAGAATATGCATACTCCTAATAGTATAGAAATGAACAACTGAACATGATAACAAGGCCATCAAAGTAGGATCATTGTATTTATTTTATTTATCATTAAAATTGGTTTGGGGGGTATTTTTCCCCCTTGGAGCTGAGGACTGAACCCTGGGCCAAGTACTCTACCACTGAGCTTAATCCCCAAGCCCAAAATATGTTTTTTAAGAGTCAAGTACCTTTACCCATTGAGCTATCTCACCCAGGCCAGCTATTTTATTATGGTGTAACTCATCAATAATTACCATAGTCCTATGCCATTTTTCAACATGAATTTATGTAACTATTAAAATCACAGGAACTTTGTCCATCCTGTGCTATTTATTGCATTTTTTTGTCTTTTGGTTTATCTGAAGCAGCCTCATGTAGACCAGGATGGCCTCAAACTTGTTATGTGGCTAAAGACTATCTTGAACTTCTGATCCTCCTCCTTTTACCTCCCAAGTACTTCCATTTTTATTTTTTTAAAGAAGTTACTTTCACAGGGCTGGAGAGATGGTTAGCAGTTAAGAGAACTGGATGCTCTTGTAGAGGACCCAGGTTCAGTTCCTAGCACCCACATGGAGGCTAACAACCATCCATTAACTCCAGGAGATGCAGTGCCCTCATCTGAATTCCATGGGACCAAGATGCACTTACACACATGCAGGCAATGCACTCATACACGTTAAAAAGAAAAAGTAACTTTCACACACAAAAAAACCCAACTTTCTGCGTTGGCTGTATATGTATATTCTTTTTCAGAAAATGTTAATATATTTCTGATTAAAATCAAAATATTTTCTACCTTGTTAGATGATGAAAACAATCTAATAAAAGTTCTTATCTTTTTTCGCACATATACTTCCAATATGACCAGGGTAAAATTAACACATAAGCCCTGTTCTCACTGAAATCTAGAGCCAAGACATTTATTTGGCTTACCTCTATGTCTCCAGATAACTGAGGCAAACACAAAAAAGCCCAAGAAATAGAGTTACTCAAAAAAGAGTACAGTGAGCCTGTAAACTTTAGTCACAGTTCCATTTTCTTTATTCTAAGAAACAAATTTGTTCTTATAATTATACTATGCCTTGTTACATATCACGACTACTAAAATGAGAGTTCCCAATGTTTTATACATATTACATACACTCTTTTTTATTTTACTTTATAATATTTTAATCAAAACACCAACTGAAGTATTTTTGCTTGCTGTTTGTTTTGTTTTGTTTTTTGAGACAGGGTCTCACTGTACCCCAGATAACCTGGAACTCAATGACCAGGCTGGCCTCCATCTCACAGAGCTCTGCCTGTCTCTGCTTCCGAGGGCTGAGGTTAAAGGCATGTGCCAACTGAAGTACTTTTAAGGACACTTTACTGATAATATAAAGTTTAGGTAATAGTGTGATACTAAAAACCTCAATTTATATGTTCTATTTGATTGACTGCTAAAAATCATTGCTCTGAAATAAAAATTGGTAGACAAATCCTATACTTCCTCTTGATACAGCAAATGCTTAGCTAATAACTTTGAACATTTACTACAAATTAAGTTGTTTGATGGTAAATGAAAACACGTAACTTTTAATCAAACAAAAATTGCATTTATATATTTTTATAATTTATAATAAATATTAAATGTATATATTTTTTCATCTTTACAGCAAGTTTTGTTTGTTTGCTCTAATAGAAACACAGGAGGGAGAAACTGATGTTTAGTAAATGAGAAAACAGAAAAACGTTTAGGAGAGACGGTACAGTTCCAAGCTAGAGAGGGGTTCATAAACAGCACAGGCCACTGAGGAAGAAGCACCAAGAACCGTAAAACTCCTCCAAATGGGAGGGAGTAGGAGATACAGGAGATTTTAGAACATTATTTAATGTTTAGTGTCTCCCCAGTATTTCAATTTAAAATACTGACCCACCAGCTCAATGAAACCTTGTAAGTAACTGTATACAATTAATAGGAGGTGAAGGAAGAGTGATAAATAATATTAGCTTTGTGCAAGTTTGTGCAACAGTAGAAAGGAAAATACAAACACTACCTGGCAGGTGATGGATTTGGAGGTGGTTTCTAATTTTATTCCCACTGTTATGTTAATATTACCTTTATATAAAATTGGAACAAAAATCTTTAAAGAGGTGTATGAAAATACACATGACATAAAAGTTTCACATTAACCTTTAAGTGTATAAATTCAATGCTTTTATGTTAAATACCCATTTTAAAAATTTTCAGATAGTAGGAATAAAGACTATTATTTGTTGTTAATGGTTAAGTTACCTTGATGTATCTGGTATATAAAGTCACCATAAACATCATTCTGGAAGTTAGCAGGTAACGAACATAAAACATTTATTCTGTTTCTTCTATAGCAGTCAGTTTATGGTTTTACTGTTTCAAAATTCAAAGTTACTACAAGAAAAAGTCTATTTCTTATTAGGTTTGGGTTCATATGATTGTTATCCTTTCTTATCACACACACAAAAAAAGGTGTGTGTACTAAACACAGTATGTTCTAGGGCTGGAATGCAGCTCAGTTGTTACAGTGGTTGCCTAGCACATGGGGCCCACATAAAACTGGGCCTGGTGGCACATGACAGTAATCTCTAGCACTCAGGAGGTAAAAGAAGGAGCATCTGAAGTTTAAGGCCACCTGTGGCTACATAGTGAGTCCAAAGCTAGCCTGGGTTGAAAACCTCTCTTCCTGTCTCATTAAAAAAAAAAAAAAGTTAAGGATTTTTTAGAAATAATACAAAAATATTAGAGGTAAATTACACAAAATGTATACATTTAATAGAACGTGAAGTTGATATTATGGAATGCTAGCTTTTTACATTATTACATTCTATTTATTATTATTTTTTATTTTTATGTGTATGAGTGTATCGCCTGCATGTATGTAAATGCACCTGTGTCATGCAATGCCCACAGAGGTCAGAAGGTGTTGGATTCCCCTGGAACTGAAGTTACTGTTGCCTGTTAGCTGCCATGTAGGTCCTGGGAATCTAAGCCAGGTCTTCTTCAAGAGCAATCAGTGATCTTAGTTGCTGAGCCATTTCTCCAGCCCCATTTTATTTATTTGTTTACTGTGTATGTGTGTCTGTGTGTCCACGCCACAGCACATGAGTGGAGGACAGAAGACAACCTGCAGGAGTTGGTTCTCTCCTTCTACCACATGGGTGCCAGAGATGGAACTCAGATTGTCAGGCTTGGCAGCAGGTACCTTTACTGAGTCAACCCTCTAACCTGACTGTTAGTTTTATAAAGACATTTTCAATTTATTCTTGGTCATAAAAATTATACATTACTTAAATTTAGGTTAACCGTTATTTGAGGGATTAAATATACACTGTAGCAAACCATCAGAAAATATTTTTCTAGTTGGATACCATGATATATACACTTATAATCCCAATTACTTAGGAGGCTGAAACAAGAGGATCCCCAAATTGCAGGTCAACTTGGAAAAACACAACAAAAGCAAGCACCATAAACAAATCAAAACAAAACAAAACAAACCACATTTTCCTAAAATGTTCCAGCTAGGTCAATATACATGTCTTCAGCATTGTTTTATAAAGAATAAATACATATATTATATA